AAAAAGTGCCAAAATGGTATGAAAGCTATGCGGCAATATATTTTTCTCGAAGAGGACAAAAAAGACGATCAATGAGAAGGGTGACAAAAAAGTATGCATAGGAAAGCACCAAGTTTTCATTGCGAAACCTTTTTTTGGAGTATTATCAATAATTGAAAAGTTGCACTAATTTTTAATTTAAAAGTTTTGTTTCCCTTTCTTGTCTCTTCTTTTTTTTCTGTTCCAGTCACAGTCCCAATTAACTTTGTCTGTGTCAAAATATCCTTGGAGGTCGACGCGTTTAACGTGTCACGTCTATTTTTCAATGAACAGATATCAATGAGTGCCTTGGGTCTCATGGATGCCACAGCAACGCAAGATGTGAAAACACCGCTGGCTCCTACAGATGTGTGTGCAACATTGGATATGATGGCGATGGTCGTACTTGCAGCCCTGGTATGTGCTCATAGAACTTATGCACCATTACGTGACGGCAGCTTGGACAATAAAATCCCTTTGCTCTCGGGAATTGAATATGTTCTCATTTAAAAACAATTGTATTGTTCCTGCCATCTAAAGCCCCGTTTACACTAGCAATTTTTGCGGCGATTTTTGCTGCGATTTTTTTTCGATTTCGTAAATAGAAAATAAAGGTAAAGAATTTACTTGTAAAGTTTTTTCAGGATACCAAGATTTCCCTAGACGAATATCTCTTTTGAAGGATGAGACAAAAGATTTCATATTCCCGAAAATAGCCACAAAAATCGCAGCAAAAATTGCCGCAAAAATCGCCAGTGTAAACGGGGCTTAACATGGCTGTTGTCGCGTGATGGTGCAAAACCTGTTTTATCGATATTATAATACACTCAACAAAATTACTCGATTCTGATTGGACAAGAGGAGTGACAATTAAATCCCAAATTGTACTCTGTAGAGTCTCAATTAAGTTGCTCGATCAATATTGTTGAGTGTATCATAAAGAAAAAATCGTACGATCTTCTCATACAATTCCGAATTTATAGATACTCCTGATGTTTTGAAAGTTCTTCTCAAATTGGACGAGTCCAATTTTGAAAACTTCCAAACATCACTCGTACCTATAAATTCCGGCGAATCGTACTCGAGATCGTGCGATTTTCTATACAAATAGACTTATGATACATTAAAGCCGCAAAATATTAGATCGATCGCTTGTACATGTTCGTTATCGCGCTTTTATAAGTTTATAGTCCAGCTCTTTATTTGATTTACAGACTATACTACGGTGTGCCATTGAACTTTAAAAGGTATCTTGAAAGGAAGCCGTGCCTTTGCATCGAAGCGACACGAATGAGCTTGCAATGATAGAGACGTGAATAAGTGCCCAACGTGTTAAAAAAGGTCTCTATCATTGCAAGCTCAACGTTCATCTCGCTTCGATGCAAAGGTACGGCTACCTTTCAAGATGGCGCAGGGAACTGTGAAAGGGACGGTTGTCAGTCAACGGTTAAAGACGTTAAACCACCTGCAAACCCTCCTTGAAAGTTCGTAGTTTTTGCACGTGTGACAAACTAAAACCTCTATTTCTTTCGCCATGCTGATGAAAATCATGTGCATGTCTCGATTCTATTACCCGATGATCAGGCGCCAAGCCATTGAGATTTTTTTTTAAATATTTGAAATACTGGGGTGGATATGATGGAGTCCCTTAGATTTTGGAGACTTAGCAATCTAAATGCATAATAGAGATTATCGTCAAGTGGGTGGATGGGTGGCCTTCGATAATGGGCCTTATTCACGCGGCAGCCATGTTGGATTGAACAATATAGATTCCACCACGCGCCTCAAATTCAAGCGCTTGAGAATTAATTTATGCTTGGGAAAAATAGGGTTTTTTATTCTCATGAGAATAAATATGGCCGCAGATGATGAAGGTGCATTGTGTCAGGGCAATTATTATGCCATTTTAATGACCTTATTGTTTTTATTTTGTTCTCATCAGTTGCATACAGTTGGACAGAACATACACCTTATATGTGTGGCAGTGGAAGAGTGCTTTTGCAGCCGCAGAAAACAAAGGAAGAGTGTAAGCAACTGTGCATAGGAAATGAAGACTGCATAGCAGTTGAATGGTGGGGCAAGGGGAGTAATTCTTGTTTTAAGTGCCCTGATCCACAAGGAAGACGAAGTTATACCAACACAAATGATGCATCTTACCCACCTTATGTAATTATCAAGTCATAGAGGAAGCATTGCACTCTACCCCGGGCCGCATAGCAGTTAAATGGTGGGGCACGTGGAAAACCAGTTGACCGTTTTCTCAAGGCTGCGTGCGCATCCAAATTTAAGGAACTGGACGGGCCACGATACAAGTGACGGGTATAACAGCTGTTTTCGCATGACTGTGAAAAGCTCACGGCACGAACACGTTCTTGACACGTCTAGGGATACGCCAGACCAATCAGCCAATTAAAATTCTAAAAAAATTCTAAAAACATCACGGTCACGGCACGGCACTGAGCTTTTCATAGTCATACGAAAACTGTACTATCATGCATTGCTATGAACGTTTTTTTTTCCGATAAGAATTCATAAAATCAATTAGTCTCCTCTTTGAATATAAAACTGTCTTCTCAATTTTACTGAATTTGCGTTTTTCAGTTTTGTGGCCCGTCAAGTTGGATGCGCACGCAACCTTGAGAAAACGTTCTATTGTTATACATTCCCTGATCCACAAGCAAAGAAAATGTTATACCAAAACAAATGATTTAGCTTAACTGCTTTATGTAATTATCAAGCCATAGATGAAGCATTGCACTGCACAACAGTTGAAAGATGGGAACGAAGAACCTGAACATGAGAAAGAACAGATCAGACCATTTTCGAGTCACGTTCCAAATTACCGCTGTGATTTTTTGATCACAGACTTATTTATTCAGTCTTAGCCTCGCATCACTGTCTAAATATTCACAAATACCAACGACAAAGTTAACAATTCGACAATTTCAACAATTGCTGGTTTTCAATCATTCCCAAGGGAGTGGAATAACAACAACAACAACAACAACATCAACAACAAAACCCGGCGGCCGTGTTGGTTTATACATATATACATGAATATTCTGCATGAAATCGAGGCTAACCAAGCCTACTTCGCAGACGTCGTTAGGCCCTGGCTAAATGAGGAAACATGTTTACCACGCGCATGTTTCCTCAATGTTCCCCAGTTTAGCCAAATGCGAAATTACATTGCTGCGTGCAACAAATTTTGCTTCCAAGACGCAAAAAATGTTTTTGCTGTGCGGAACTCCCCCCCTCCCCTTCCCCCTCTCCCTTAAAACTCGTAATGTTTTCCCCCTTTTTAACCACAGGTAGCCCAGGCTTACCGTTAGTGTTGAATAACTGAATCGATCGAGAGACAAACAGACAGTCAAAGATTATATGGGTATCATATGGGTATTTATGAATCCTCATTTTTGCGCTTTAAAATAGTTTAAATCAAATAAAACTCCCACCGTGTGTTGTTGATATATTGAACAGCCCCATGGTTTAATTAAAGCTCATTTCGTTCGGGTTTAGATGACGCTTCCCCACCACACACTAAAGAGGAGAAGGTAGGAAACGACTCAGAAAAAATGGCCGTCGAACGGTTGAACTCTTTGCCAAATATTTTGCCGAAAAATGCTTCCAGTTGAAACTTTCTTTTGCAGGACTTTGGAGAGATAACTAAGCCACGCTATCACCTTAACAGAATTAACAAAACCATTATTCTCGAGAAGCAATCCCCAAATGAGTATCACAATCCGGCTTCTCTGGACACCATTTTCAGAGGAAAATCGGAAACTCTCGAGGGTAGCCTCGGGTGATATACACAAACCAAAACATGACACTCAACTACCCCCACACGCCAAATATGATTCAAAACTATTGTATTTTTCGGCATTTATAAAAGAATGATGTTAGCAAGAGAATATGAACTAAGAGAAGGAATCCTACCTATATAGGCTTGTAACTATCATGTGCACAGTTTGATGCTATTTTTAGCTTGGAAATGTTTTGAGAGAAGAACCCGATTGGTTGATTTCTTGAGGGTAGACGGCTTCCAGTCTTGCAGTAAACAAAGCCTGTGTTTTTGTTGTGGACGTAGCGAAATATGGTGCTTTTCGTGTCCTTAAACGAGGCATTAAATGGAAGCATGATTATCGCGCGGGTATGGTAACGAGTTAAAAATAGCATCAATGATTCTAAAAATAGCATCAAAGTGTGCACATGATGGGGCACGGGGATTCCTTCTCTTATTTCATTTTCTCTTGATGTTAGTCAATCATGAAATGTATATATACCGTGACAAGAAATGGGCCGTGAGCCCAGTTTTATTCTAGGGGGGATTGGGAGCATGCAGAAAATTTTGAAAAATCCAATTTCCAACATAGCTTCCATTTTAAAAAGCTTGCTGCTCAATTATCTTTTTAGGGTGGCTTAAGACCTTGTTCGGTGTTTTTTGGGGGGTGGGAGGGGGGATATTTTGCCCTCACCCCACCCATCCCCTCTCCGCCCTCCCTGCCCCAACCTCTCATCCCCCATCTCGATTGAATCCCAAAAAAATATGTAGATATATCTTCCAAGTTTGTTTCGCCGATTTTTCGAGTGGAATCTTGCTATTATTTCATCCAATCTTATGCCTCGTTCTATAAGGAATTCTTTGAAAACTGAAAGTACTAATTCCTTAACAGAAAATCTTGTTTACGTTATTTCGAGTTGATTAAATTTTTCCTAACAATAATTAAAATCTATATATTTTCAGAACAAAAGTACTTTGGTTTTGCACTAATGAACTGTTAATGAATTACTAATGGCTTTCTGATTGGCCTCGAGTCGCTGGTTTTTTTTTAATAGAGTAAATTAATTTTAAAAAGAACTACATTCCGAATGACTAGATACGATTGTTTACTTTGAAAACCATTACAAATCCGGAAAAAAATCACATTTMAACCTACGCATTGTATTGCTGTAGCTATATTAGTGGCTGGGAGTCAAAATAATCTTATTCTATTTAATCAACTTGCCTTGGATTATGTGCGAGCACTGAAGACGACATGTTGGGAGTTATTTGAGTGGCAGGTGTTACTCAATGGTTTCGAGACATCAGGTAACTTGAAAGGAAAAACATTCAGTTCTGGCCATGAAATCTCGCTGAATCAAACCATCAAGGTTTAATCCAACTAGAAAAAACGTTATTCTGGCAAAGATAACGATTGCCGACTGGAAAAATATATGTAATTCTACCAAAAACAAGGTAAACACTAAGAGATCCTTCTCTTGATCAGTAAGTGAACTATCTGATTACATAAAAACCAATGTTTTGAAATTATTCAAGGTCGATTCCCTACAGTAGTTTTAAATTGCAGAAAAATCTGCCAAACGTCTCTTGAAATTAAAGATAAAATTAGTAATTAGTAATGCTCTGAAACCTTAAATTCTGGGAGTCAGAAATATCGTTTTATTTCAAATCAGATTTTCCAATGCATTTTAGAATGTCGACAATACTTAGGCATTTTGCATTTTCTGAAGATTTATCTTGAGTTCTTCCATCTTGAATATTGAAAAGCTCTCTTATTGTGTGTACGTCCGTAGCGTAACATAACTCTGGTTTATGATTTTCTGTTCGTTCGGAACAGAAAGGCAGCTTAATGAGGGAAAATATCTTTCCAGGAACCGGTGTGATTAATCTAGATTTTATACCACTGCGGCTTGTTTACTGTTTTCGAAATACCTTAGAAAAAAATCTTGGAAACCCCATGAGGTGGAAATAAAATGACACAGCATACCGTTCATCAAATTTTAAAGAAAGCTGCCTGGTAAGTCGCCTGGTAATGTTTTAATTAAGTTCTAATTTTACTTCGTCTGTACAGGAAAGAGTGAATCCCAAAGTTCCCCCTTCGAAACTAGACAGTGAATCATTCACAGATTACGTTTCACTTAATTCAGTCTAAGAATTAAAAAGAAAATGTAGGTAGAACCGTGCCTTACTGCACGTACCCTCTACAGAAAAAAATACTGTGGGAAAACATTTAAAAACATGTGTAATGTCGGTTTTGCAAGGAGAAACGCGTTGAAAAAATTGTAAAAATTTCGACGAAAAAGTGCGGGCAAAAAAACTAAAAAAAGTAATTTGCATATTTTTTGCACTTAAGAAGCATCTTAAAAACGAGATTTTAAAATGTTCTAGAAATTCCACTACGTGAGTTCTTAATAGATTAAAGACCAATACCAGAATTTGCTTTTACTAAGATAAGATTTTAATCTTGAAAATAACCTCTTTCCATCATAATCAATGTCTTGTGAATTTCCGCTTAGTCTTAGATAGGTACCTTTTTAGAAAGGCGGCATATTTTAAAGCTTAGTTTTTCGGTAAATTTGTGTTTACAATAGATTGGAGTAACAGTAGACTATTTAGATTGAAAACAACGTTGTTTTGAGGGATATTACTCGAGGAGCTAGAGATATTAGGATTCCATTTCCTGGCGAGTCGTGTTTTGAAGTGCTTCAAAAGTACAGTTTGATCTCATCAACACTGTATTACTATAAATCCGATAAGAAAAATCCTAAAACAAACAGAATGAAACGGCTTTTCCATAACAATATTGCACTGAAGGTAAGATTTAACCAAATATAGTGAATTATTTATAATTCTCTTGATATTTTTCTGCATATTTAGACGATACAATTTTAAGTATGTCTCCGGCGCACTGCATGTGATGGGCTTTAACAAAAAACAAAAAACAAAACAAGTCTTCTTGCAACAAAAAAAAACCTGTCTTTTCAAAACACTAAAATTTGTCGTATCTTTATGCCTTCCAGGCTTAGAAATATTAAATTTACCCAACTCTAACAGATGCTGTTTTATTAACTAACCAAATATTTCTCAATTTTAATAAATAATCATTTAGTAAAAAAAGCTGTTTCGCCAAAATTGAGTGAATTAAAGATGAGCATATCGGAATTTTTCTTCTTTTCGTCGCTGTGGTTAAGGTTCAAGTTTTTTTATTCTGTTGGAAGTTGGTCCATAAACTCCAGATCAAGATCAGGCTGGATCAGTGAACTGTATTGCCTTCGATTTTTTCATGTGATCTAACTCGGCTGTCAGTGTACATCGATAATTCGCTATGATCGATGCTGTTTTGACCGCACTAGTACCCAAAAAAATTGGACATTACCACATCATTATTCCAATTCCATCATTATCACCATCATCGATCATTGTCATATTGTCACATTAAACTGAACTGATCCTCGCAGTATGTGAAGCAACTTAGTGCAGCTGTAAATTGAAAGACTCAGAAAAAATTCCGAGTCTTAACAATCATATCCAGTTATCAGTGGTATCACTATCCAATACAAGTTGTCCGTTTTATATTTTGTCAAGCAGCATTCAACTCGAGTTAGGAAGAGAAAGGATGTCTGTTTTCTCAGACTACATTTTCTCCATTGTTTGAGCCATCATCATCATCTTCTCATCAAAATTTTTTCGCGATAAGATACGATTTCGAATAAATAGTAAAACAAAAAATTAGCATAAACCGACCTACTTGCTGTCCGATTAGCTCCACTGCGACAAGCACAAATCTATATAAAAACCTTAATATATGAAGGACTTTTATAGTAAAATCCCTTTCAAAATCTTAAATATTTAATTTACATAGGACTAGAAACTGGTTTACAGCACGTACACACCACATGCGCTGAAAAGGATTTCCACTACTGATCTTCCGTGCGAATCAATAACCACGGACGTGACAAAAATCTACTGAAAATATCCTATTGCGTGTAATTTGGTGGTGGGGGAGGGNGGGGGGGGGTGCGGGGGGTTCCCTGATTCGATATGGAATGTGTGTTCTAATATTTTTCCTTTTACCGGGCTTTGAGGAAGAACGATGACATTAGATTTTCATACGTCACAAATTCAAATTTAACGTACTGAAAGCAACAGTCAAATGGCTTCTTAAGTTCTGTGATTGGATAATGACGCACGTGGATCTTTTTCCGCTCTATCTCCCTCTCTCCTTACTTTATAAACCTCGCTTTCTGATTGGTTGCGCACTCTCCAAATTTGTCATTTTATAAAAGAAATACAAAAACTTGCTAGCTGTGCTCATTCTGCAGTTATTAAGCACTTTAATTGCGGAACACTCGAGGAGTGTTGAGAAGCACTCGCTATCGCTATACGCGTCATCCCTCAACTAACACTTCTCTCGTATTCTTCGTTATGTCGCGATTACACGAAGCAATTTTCTCTGCAGCTTGTCTCGCAACAGCGTTGCGACACAAATTACAAAACTGTTAACATGGTGCAACGGAGACGCAATTGTTGCCAAGAGTTGACACGAATTCTACTTTTTGCAACGACTGCTGCAACTTGTCTAGCAACATTTTTTTTCAGATTGCGCTGTAGGTTACACGCTGCAATGCTTCATGCAACTTGTGTCGCAAAGACAAGTTGCTCCGTGTAATCGTGTGACTTTAAGGTTCCCGCGTGCTATATAACTGCACACAGCACGCACGTGATTTCTATTTCTTCATTAATATATCATTGGTATATTTATTTTTGATCGATTCTTTCAGATCAATCAATGACAAATCATGGAAGAATTTGAAATTCCGCTGCCACCAAATATGAGCCCAAGCCAACGCCGCAAAGCTACCGACCACCAAACAATCCAAGAAGAATCATCATCAAAAGGCGACTCCGAAAACACCCTATCGCAATCACCACGAACCGCAGGACCTCTTACTAAACGATGGTTCCGTGAGCAGTTTGGGTTAAGAAAAGGAAATAAAAACCCCAAAATAATTGAGCCGAGCGACGAGAGGCCAAAAAGACAACCCGGTCTTAGACGAACAAGCTCACTACCCGACCTCGCGTCTTTGCTAGAGGCTGCATCGGTTAAAGGAGTTAAAGTTAGTACGCTAGGTAGACATCGATCCATGAGAGAAAACCGACCTGTTAGCTCTATAATAGCAAAATGAAGAACTGATTCTTCATACAGACGGAAGTAGATATATAGATAGAAGCATGGACATTCAAAAGCGAAGACTTGAAGTGTGACAGCTGAGGCACACGGCAAATGTTTTTTCAGCATAGGAGGGCTGTGAAATATAGCTTTTTTTGGGGGGAGGGAGAATCATCGAATGCAATCTTCACAGCCAGTCAATACCAGATCGGTTAAGATAAACTGACGGACAGACAGAAAGACAGATCTGGACGTGAATATGATCGAGACGTCTGTGTAAGACAGGGGAGCAGCGGCTCTTAGACCTAACCTTGGGCGTTAAATGTTTTCCCTTTTCAGACCACGTTTATTCACTCGAGAATACGATTCTTTGTTTGAGTAGTATCATTATACTCACGTGCTTTCTCGTGTGCAAGCCGTTACACACACACACATACAAATACTCGACTCCAACATGGTCTGAAACTGAAAAAGACCCCTGGAATGCAGCTCAATCTGGGGGACAAAACAATAGTTTCCAATTCTCTGGAGACTGAAATTCTTTTGATTTTGTCACCCAGATGGAGCTGCTTTGACGTCACATGCAAGCAGGGGTCTATAGTAAAACGATACAATTTACTCCCAAGCTAGAGGTATTGGAAGATTTTTGAGGGGAAGGGGGGAGGTAATTAATACGAATGTTTCTGGCAAAGGAGTGTAGTTAATATTGCTTCTTAGGAAAGGATGGATGGGTAATTGAAAATTAGTAGAGTGACCACAGTAAATCCGTGAAACTTTAGTAATACTAAATAGCACAATTTCATGCAAATTCCATTGTTTTCTATTGTTTAACTAACACTATTTTGTACTATTTAGTAATTAGTGTTTCACGGATTTACTGTGGTCACTCTAGTTGCGAATAAGTAAGTATAGACGGTTTTGGAGAGAAAAAAGATAATACAAGAATGTAGTCTTTCAAAACTGATTCCTTAAGTCAGTGTTTTCGCTCTTTTTTCACAACCCACAAAAGAGCAAAAACTACAACCAAGAGAATATGAAAATCTCTTGCTACAACTAAAATGGAATCAGTCTAGTAGTGAGTATCCTTAAGGCCCCGTCCACACGTATCCGGAAATTTTTGTATCCGCAAATGTTTTTTTGCGGATACGAAAATGTTCGCGTCCACACGCAGCGTATTCGAATCGTTTTCGATAGTTTTTCTTATTGAGCATGCGCAAAATCGTGTTTACGTCATCGTATTCGAAAATTTGCGGATACGACCGTCCACGCGTATCCGTATTCGGAGCGTATTCGAAAATTTCCACTCTGGAGACCGTTTTCGAAAATTTCCGGATACARATACAAAATTTTCCGGACACGTGTGGACGCAACCCGTATCCGCAAAAAAAAAAAAAAAAAAAAAAATTCCGGATTCAAATTTTTACGGATACGTGTGGACGGGGCCTAAGAAAGTCGCTCGCAGAATAAAGAATCCAGTTGCAAATACATCGACTTTGCAGAGCTAGGTCATTTAAGTAGGACGACTAGACACTTACTGTAGATAAAAAGATTTATTTTATTTTTTAGGATTATCGATACCGGATCAATTAAATGATACTGCATGATTGAAGGCAAATAAAAGGCGGGTTTACTCCATGCCAATCAATTATTCAGTTTCAAATTTATGTGGTTAGCCTACAGTATACAACCAATATTTCCAAATCATATTGTAATGTTAGAGTGCACGCACTAAAACCGTGAACATTAAATAGTACTAATTAGTACTATTTCATACAGAATCCTTTGTTTTCTATTGTTTATCACTATTTAGTGCTAAAAATTAGTATTTGTTTCACGGATTTAGTGTGAGCACTCTATTAGTCTTTAATAGAGTGACCACAGTAAATCCGTGAAACACTAATTACGAAATAGTACAAAATAGTGCTAGATAAACAACAGAAAACAATGGAATTTGCATAAAAATGTGCTATTTAGTATTACTACAGTTTCACGGATTTACTGTGATCACTCTATTTCATTCTAATCTAGTTATGTCTACTACAACTTGATTCAAATAATATGTAACATTCTCAAATCCATCAACCTCACTTAGACATGAAATGTAAATTTTATTGAAAAATATATAATACATAATCTATACATATATTTCAACTTGTAGATGAATTTTTCGTTACCACATTTTCGATTGCAGAAGTCGCCACAGCGAATGATCTTTTTTATAAAGAAGATATAACTAGCTAAAAACTAGTGTGAGCTGTGTCGGTGTTTCTAATGAAACAGTAATGATAAAAGGGTAAATTATACACCGTCAAAAGTGTAAGTTACTCCGACGAAGGACTAGCGTCCGAAACGTCAGTAAGTTTTTTCATCTTTTCACGGTGTATAATTTACCTTTTTATCATTACCGATCTTTTTTATAGTGAGGACCACTCGAACCAAATGCACGATTCAAGTTTTTTTTTTTTTTTTGACATTTACTTTTATTTAAATGCATACTGGACATCATTCCTTGAGCCAGTCGATTGGAAATAAGATTTGTTTTGATCACTCGGTGTATTTGAACTCAATGCTTCATTTTAGGCCCCGTCCACACTATGCCGGATAAATTTGAATCCGAATTTTTATTTATTCGGTTCAATTTGGAAAATTCGTTTTCGGTGAAGAATTGTTCCGGATTCGCCCGGACTAGTGTGGACGGTATGCCTATAGCACTGAATAAATAAAAATTCGGATTCAAATTTATCCGGCATAGTGTGGACGGGGCCTTAGAGGGTTTGAAACAGTAGAAAGTTCAAGAGAATGAAATAACAAATTAGACGGTGCCCATGTTTGATGACATAGCAAAAGAGAATAATGACGAATCTTTTCTTACATCCATCCAAAATGGTGGCTCTAAAAATCACCAATAAACTGTTGAAAAATTGAAGAGTTCACGGTTCAAATGTTAGCGCTGTAACGTCATGACCATGTTTTCTAATCTCCAAGTTTAACATCATCCAGCCAGCTATTTTCTTTCATCAACACATCAAGGCCTTGAACCTCTGTTGCACAAGCCTTCAACACCTGGACACCCAAAAACCACAACTCACTGATATTCTTCCAGTCTTTCTGACATGCAATCCTCAATGGACTAGCCGTCTCATCACAAAGCAAGCACCCATTTGCCTCTTTCAAGAAATTTAAACTTGATTCGAAAAACTGCCTTAGCTCAGGATTAGAGAAATCTTTAGATTCCTTTTGTTGTCTGGTCAACATAAGCCCAAGAACCACCAAATGAGCAACTAGAACAACATTTTCTGAATATCGCTCTAACATAGGCAGATTAAGTACGATGTGCCTTTGAATTTCAAGAAAACTCTGATCCTCTTTTACAAGCGTTGGTTCAGTAACAGCAAAGTTTAACAAGACACCAAGCAAAGTCACCATCGATGTCTTGGAGTTAGCACTTGTGGTTGAATCTTTGAGAAAGCGTTTCCAGAGAAGTGAGTAGTATTTGACAAGTATGTGGTGTGTGTGGTTCTCCACAAGGATTTTTCTTGATTCATCGTGGGCAGAAAAATGACACATCGCTGGCAACATGAATGGTAACATTTCTATAGGCTGTTTCTGTTCTGCACTCTCTGTCTCCATTGGTTCTTCAAAGGTGACTGTCTTTACAGCTTCGGTTTTAGTGCCTTTGTCTAAAAGAGAATGGCTTATCTTTCAACAATTCCTATAATTATGTATGTAAGCGAGAGCAAAAACACCTGTTATTTAGCTTGTCAATCAAAAAATAAAAAATTTGATTAACAGAAGCCATAATGGTGGTTTAGCAAAGCACAGTTGGCGTGAGCTGCTAATGTGCTGCCTCTCACCAATGCGAACCTAGTTCGAGTCCCGCTGGGCTCGGTGACGTATGTGAGTAGAGTTGTCTTGTTGGTTCTCTCCTGTGCTTAGAGGGTTTTTCCTCTGGGTTGTCCTTTTTTCTCCCTCCACAAAAATCAACTTCCAAATTCTACAGGTAATTCGATCTATCAGCTTCCTTATCAATTTGGTTGCAAAACCTAGTAAACCTGTTTGACATTAAGCCATCCACCCTGAAGTGGTAAACCAGTTAGACTTTTTTATAGATTTTTGTTCAAACTACAGTAAATCAATTGGCCATTTTAAAACGAGAAAGAACCAAATACAAACAACTCTACTAACATACAACACCGAGTCAAGGAAGCAAAGCCAGGTCAAATTAGTGAGAGGCTTATTACTCTCACCTATAATTCCCAAATAAGATACAATGAGATTGAAAGACTTTATCAGCTGATTGAAATCCAGCAATAATAAGTATAGATCTATCTTTCTATATATCCAACATGGCTTAAAAAATGGCCAGACGTTGGACATTGTCCACCCAGAATTGGGACTCGTGCAGTAAAATCTTTTTCCTTACTGGTCATTTTGGCCACTAAAATTAAGCTAGAAACGAGGTATGAACAAGCAAAAACTAATTTGGCCAGTCATCATGACTGGTGACTTACAGTACCAGCCATTATATTAATTTAAGGCCTCATCTAAAATGTTGTGGCTGTTGAATCACAGCATAGGTCAATCACAATGAATCTTGGCTCCATAATAGTACTTTACTAGGTGAAAGCCAAAGATCTAATTTGAATTTACAACTTGATTTTTACAGGCGACTACTATAAAGGGCCACTACTTAGACAGCAATAACCAATCAAATTGTATAACAAAAACAATACATTGCAACTTTGGGTAAAGGAACCAATCAGAAAGCAGCACATAACAATAGCTGCCAAAGATATCTTTTTATTCCCACAAGAAAATGATGAAGGTTATCTAGTTGCTTACACACAACATCAGGGTTAAATTACAATTCTCACACAGTCTAGGATTCTGATTAGCTGCACTACCCAAAGTTGGGATGCATTGTTTTCATTCTACACTGTACATTTTGATTGGTTCTCTTATCTAGCTGTCTTAGTGGCCCCGGTTACAGTGGTTATACTGTAAGGAGGGAAGACAAATGCAGACCCTGGAGAAAAACCCAAGATGAAGAACAGGAGAGAACCAATAAACAATGCTAATAACATTAAAAATGAAGAAATAATCAAAGAAACAAAGTGTTTTAAGAATCCCAATTGGCAAGGAGGCAAACCAGTTGGCTATTTACAAGCATGGTCGAGAAACTGAATTTGAACTAATCAGAAATCAGGACAAATACAGTCTCAGCTAGTAGCCACAGCAGGACTCGAAACCCAGCACCACCAGATTGCGAGATTGCCTCCAACACCAAGACTAGCAGTATAATAAACTGTGTCTTACTCTAAATATACAGTATATGTGGTCCAAATTCTCTAGCTCACCTTCAGTATCTGAAACCATTGTATCCTTAGCGATTCTTACCAGAAAAGGCAGCACCTTATTCACCTCTTTCCTTAATGCCATAGATTCCTCAGCTAACCAGGCACACAGGACTCTAGCTGATGCAATCACCAACTGCCGCTCCTCTTCAGAAATCTCTCCATCTTCATAATTCATAGCTCCCTGTTGAAGAAAGGCTAGAACAGACATCATTGCTTCTGTTACTTGGGTGTACAGCTTTGATATCATCCCCTGTTCCAGTCTGGGTATCATCTCTGCCGATTGGTTATRGTTGTCGTCTTCGGTGTCGGCAGTTATCAGGTATGCTATGACATTTTCCATGATGTTGTAGCAAGATGTCAAGAGTGTGGATTTTTCAATTATCTCTTCAGTGCTGTTGTCATCCAATATAATTCTTATTTCAACAGACACAGAAGTAACAACGAGAATAAAAAATGCACTTGTGTTAATTTTGCTCCCTGCGTCATGACGGAAGACCCATTTGAGGCCACACCCCATCAAATCTGTAACCACTGATACTAGCATTAAAGCAGGGTCTCTTTGAACTGTGGTTACTTTACTCTGTAGAATATCTCTCAGTCCAACACACGAATCAACGATCCATTCATCTGTTTCAAAAGACTTCAATGCCTCTCTGAATGCTGCCGTTTCAGCATGCGAAAGAAAAACAAGTATATTTTTGCATATTGCAAATTTATCCATGTCTTGTAGTGTTCTCATTTTATTAGCACTGAAGCTTAAAAGCTTGATCAAGTCCTTGGGATGCTTTAACCACATTTCTTTAGGAACAAACGTAGCCATATTTAGCAGCATAATCCAAGCCATATGTGGATCTAGGATTTCTTTGCTTATGATTTCACATAAATATTTGATAGTTTCTTTCTTAAGTAAAGCGTCAGAACCTTTGGATGTCGAGGAAAGAGAAACAAGAATCTGATACGCATCGTCTACGACTGGTTTCTCAGATGACGGATTGGAAATGATTTGGTTTAACATCGGAATTTTGGCAACCATTTGAGGATGTAGAATTAACACTTCATCCGTAGCAAAACAAGCCAAGATAGCAACAGCTAGGGACTGATATACACCTCCACTGCAATCCTCAGGGATAGTCGTAGTATTCAAAAGCCTGTTAATAAACGTGAATCCAATGGCATCGAATAAAACTCGTCTCTCTTCGCCATTGACTTCACTTGACTTGACTAATCTCGTCACCAAAAGCAGAGAAGCGAACCTCTCGTTGTCGTTCTTCGCTGATTTAAATAACGAAATGCACTTCTGTAGGGCACTACTCTGGTCTATAGGAGCAGTAGCATCTTTTTCGTCCATTTTTTAAGACATCTGACGCTGGAATAAATTTTTAAATGTCGTAAAAAGAACGTCTTGATTTTTACACGTGGTCCGCCATGTTGGATTTATCTGCGCACGCATAAGATTCTAAACAGCTCCGCTGGTTCATATTAAAATGAATACCGCCGAACACTAACATTGAAGGCTCAAAAATACTTCAAAACAAGAAACCCTTATAAAATATGTCAGAGAGAAAAATGCGTTTATTCCGGTTCAAATAACTACGATGGGGATTTAAAGAAATCAGAAGGATGGCTAGTATATTGGGACACTTACATTTCTGGTCGATGAGAAAACTGGCCGCAGGAACTGGTAAAAAATCAATATTTTTTGGGCGCCATATTTGTTTGTTGTTGTTAAGAGTAAAATCGAAATCTGTCTTTGGATATTTACCCAAAAAAATTATCGTCCGTTCGTTTAACGAGCTAAGGTCTTGAAAGGCGCTTTATAATTTAGTAAAACCAAATCTTTTTACTCGATAAAGAAATGAAGTGTGATTTTTGTAAATTTTTTTGTTATGGTATGTTGTTAACTATATGTAGTGTGTTGATTTAGGTTGAATTTATAGATGTTTGCGTAAAATACGACAATTCCTTTTACTAAATCGTACATTGATATTCGTACGTGTAGGTCTTGATGTTGGTACAAATTGCTATCATGAGAAAATATCAGGTAAAGTAGTCAGGAACAAAAAAACCTGCTGTTTACTTATTAGACTAAATTGAAAATGAATGGATGGGTGAATAAAAATAAATAGGGTGTAGTAGAGGCTTTTCCACATAGTTGCTCGCTCTACAACCACTGAATTCCAATTTGAATTTAGGAGTTGGGTTTTGAGAAGAGAAGAAATCCAGAAAACTTATGTAGAAAACCCACAGGTCAATACAACATACATCATGCCTGGGATTCAAACGCTAAACCTGGTAGATGCTAGATAGCATTGGTGAAAGGCAAGAGAGCTCCCACTGCTTTGCACTGGATCAACTTCCTTTCTAGAATCCACACAGAAAAGCAGATTATATACTTGACGAAAATAAGAATAATATTATACTAGGAAATTTTTTATTGGCTTGTTCATCATAGGACTAAATTTCTGTTTTTGAACTAGTTTTTGCATAGTTGATATTAATAAAATAAATTCAAGATAAAAGGATTAGCCTGCTTTGAAGACTCTTTTTTTTAACACTCTGAGGATATATACGGATGTAATAAATAAGTGTGTTGAATATTTCAAGGTAATACAGGTGATGATGGTTATGCACAGTACAAGAGACTATCGGGAGAACAGAGAGGAATATCATGGACACCAAAAAACAAGAGGCCTGATAAACTAAGAGACAGTCTAAGAGAGTGTGAGGTAGGTATATTATGATCATCCATGGTTGAACCTCACATTTATTCTTTGGGTGCATCTTCACAATGTTTTACAGTATTATTGGAACGTGCAGTATTAATTTWAAAAAAAATTATAATATAGGAAATGCTACAAAACTACAAAGTTACTTTTACAAGATGGAGAACTCTAAGGAATATACAGGTATTGCCAAGTTATATGTGTATTGTAGGGTTGGTTTCGTAGGGTTTACAGTTTTGTACATTTTCARGGCAATGTCAACATTTTTTTAAATATTCATTTTATATCAGCTGTTCTTGTATGGCCATTGTTGCATTGTCTCATACATGCTTTACAAATTCAGCTAATACCTATGGGGTGCAATAGTTGCCTTGGAATAACCCGGGGGGGGGGGGGGTACTCTTGCTCGTTTAGTGTAGGGATGTGCCGCTGAGCCCTTTGAACCCTTACCCTGTTCCAGAGTAAAAGTTGCTGAAATTCACACCCTGTTCCAGAGCAAGATCACTGAAAACCCTGTTCTAGAGAGGAGAGAGCGTGATTTCATATACCCTGTTCCAGAGCGAGCGTGATTTTATATACCCTGTTCCAGAGTAGAATCACTGAAAACCATACCCTGTTTGGCGGCACGTACCCGTATAGCGAATATAGGGGAGTACCCCCCCCCCCCCCCCGGGCTGTAGTTAGTACTATTTCAGAGATACACATGTATATGGGGAAATAACCGGGGGAATAACCCTTGGGAACTTTATAATCACTATTATTATCATGACTCTTTTTTAGATGGTATTAAGTAATGGTACAATTCTATCATTCCTTGTGGCCAGTAACTCTGGTGATGTGGATGCTATATTTATTGATAAATCACTGGTAGGAAAAATACCTGATCAAGTCTGCCATGGTAAGTCTGACAAGAATGGAACCAGGGACAACGGTCATGGCAGTCATCTTGGATCGCAAGGTGTTATGGGGCATCCAGGGGGCAAATATACTGTAGCTTGGTTGCAGTAATGACATTGATTGATACTGTATTAACACCACCACAAGAGAATAAAATAAATTCAATTAGAAGAAAGACAAACACACAAAACTCTATACATTTTTCATCATCTTTGTTTTGTTTTGCCCCCTGGCAAGATGACCGCCATATCATAAAAATAATCCATTGTATAGCAAATCTCCCAGAAATAATGACGGGGAGGGCAGGGGGGGGAGGGGGGGGGGGGGGGGGTGGGGGAGGGGATGTGGTTTGCAAGTAAAGTAAAGTTTCTAAAGTTCCCTTGTAAATTACTGAGTTACTCCATTATGTACTATAAGCTATATACATAATTTTATATAAAGTACAACAAAAGGTCCTAATTTTTTCAATATATATTTTAGCTGTCATAACAGAGGGATTCCTGGTCTTCTCTTTCCTGGACAAAGCAAAACTGTTTTATGTTTACCTTGGTAAAAAATCAAGTCTGGACTTGAAAAAAGCTGAACGAATCTCATCCCTTGAACCAAAGGTATAAATGCATAAATAATGAATTGCATACAGTATCCCGATTCTCCTGAGTTTGATGAGGAGAGAGCCACTAAACCAGTATTGTCTTTCAGAATTAGCTAAATATGGGTTCACATTGATAACGCTGGAAGATAATATATTCAGTATTGGCCATACAGTTGCAAAGCAACGAAGGCCAAGACGGGATAAATTTTTGCCTCTGACACACCAAGAAACATATTGTGTAGTTCAAAAAATTATTCATATCCCCCTCACAAAGGAATTTTTTAAGACACCCCCCCAAACCCAGAAATTCCAATTTTCTTCCATACAAACTCTGTAATTTTTGTTCTTTCTCTGACCCCC